AAACCAAGCTTTCTGTTAAGCAAAAAAAAAAAAAAGAATACAACAAAATAAAATATAGGGGAAACAAATCTTATTCTTAAGTTAAAAAATATTTTTTTATAGATATCCCACTCGCATCCTATAAGTCCCTTAAAGGAAATGGTCTAAGCTTTCTTTTGAGCAAAAAAATAAGTTTTTTTGAAAAAAAAATTGCTAAAAAAATGGAAACAATGAAGAAATAGCTATCTGAACTCCTTACACTCATTTAAATAAAACCCTATATGACCAAAATGTCCAAATTTGACCGCCTCTAACAACGGCAGTTCTCACGTGACATCACATGATCACATGACATGAAATTGCCCATATGTATATTGTCTGTAACTTATTAAATGCTGACGTATATATACTGATAAGTCTTATAAACTTTTATGAGTTGAACTATACTATATTTAAGTGGGTGATTTTTTTGTAGTTCACTTAAGGATAAACTAAATCAAAAAATTATCAGTGATTCATGTTCAGATTATTTAAAATGGATATCACGTAAAATTTCGAAGTGTTAGAAATATTTTAAAACCACATCTTGATTCAAGACCACTTAAGCTATCATAATCATGGGCTAAATTCAAAGGAGCGCTTTTTTTCGCTCCATGCTATAATCACAGAATCATATCATAGACAGGTGAACAAAATATAAAATACTTAAAAGTTGAACACGTGTTTAATAAATCTGGGAGTATGTTTTTAATTGATATAAAAAGAATTCAATGAAAACTAAATAAAATCTACAACAAGCAATCGAAATTAAAATTTCCCAATTTTATTTAATATTGTCAAGTTGTAATAATTGAGTTAAGTAAAACATTCATGAGAATTAGACCTTATACATATGACATATGTATATCCATTTACATATGTAAACGATTGCAAGAATATTTCTTATCATGATTTCTGTATATGGAAGTTACAGTTATTTTAAATCATCTCAAAATTTAAAAAATAGAATTGTCTTTAAAAACAATAATAAATTTCAAAATTAATAATATTTCAACCATATAAAATTTAATAAATTTGCATAAATGTATTTGTTTTTCTTTAATATTTATTATATACAGAAAATGAAAAAAAAAAACTTCATAATTAAATAAAATTCAATACATATAATATTTTACTAACAAACACTATCATTTCAATCTCTATTCGTATCTTTTCATGTGTCCTTCTGGTACAATCAACAAACAATCAACATGCAAATGCAAACAACAACAATAATAACAAACTAAAAACGTTAAATTATAAAAAATATTATATAACGAAAAAAAATCAACAACAAATATATAAACAAAAAAAAAAAAAATAAAAATCATAAAATAACAATGGATATTAATAATATTAACGCTTTTATGCCATGTCAACACATACGCTACGATACGCTCCACTAACATGAAATACAAAATAAAATAAAAATATTTATTTTGTCCTTTTGTTAATAAATTCCCAACAACTACAATAACGGCACGCCTTTTGTGATGTTAAAAATGAAACGTGAAAAAAACATAAACATAAACAATATTTTTGCGTAAATATGAATAAAAATTTAACCAAAAAATCTTAAAATAAATTTTTCTATCTCTGTATGTGTGATAAATTATTTTCCCCTTAAAAAAAAAACTAACAAATAAAATAATAATAACCAAAAACTGCAAACGTCAACAAAAAAAACATGGATTTTTTGACACATTTCGGATGGAAAAATGTCACGTAAAAACGTAAACAAACATTGAAAAATAACCGTATGTGTTTTTTGTTTTGTTTGATTATGGCGGTCTCTTGTTTTTGCCGCTTTGTTTCCTGTTTTATGCACACATGACCATTCATGTTGCTAAAAATGGTTGATGTTTATACACATGACAAAATATGGCATAAAACAAAAACATACATGGACAACAATGAAAACTCAAAAAAATTTAAAAATATATTTAATAAAATAACAACAACAAATGATGATAATAACAATGCCAATCATGATGATGAAAACAACATTGTTTTACTTTGAAAACTAAAAAAAAAAAAATGAATTTTATTATTTTTGGAAATGGCAATCAACTAAATATGAATAACGCTATACTACCTTTCTTCTTACTTGTACACCATACCGACAACCATACCACCCAACATCTCAAACAATGACTACACATTTGTTTGTCACAATCGCCCAACCAACTAACCAACTGCATTTGTGGCCTCAATTGTCTATTTTATTTATTCTATTTTTATTTGCGTTTCAAATTTATTTTTTGACGTTTGTTTTGTTGTTATTGTGTTGTGTCTTTTTTGTTTGCAAATCCGTTTGCCACAATTTATTTTTCTCTTTATTTGTTTATTTTCTATACATTTGTATATATTTGTTTTGTCGTTATTTTATTTAATGTTTTCCTCCTTTTTGGTTAAAAAAAAAAAAAAAATTGTACACCTGCTGCTGTTGCTCTTTTTTTGTTTATTATTAATCCTTGTATGTCCTATTCTATTAACGAAAACGACTATACAAATAAATTGTTGATGTTTCGTTCATCCTTGAATTAAATTTGTAAAAAAAATATCTTACATTTTATAACATGTGTCACATGTTATCTTAATTTCATTATTTGTTTCGTTTTTTTTTTTTAAATGTCATAATGTTTCGCCTCAAATTCCCTAAATGTAATATGTTTGAATTTTTATTGTTTCCTTTTTTTGGGGGGGGAAAATTTCATCAAAATCAGGTTTGTATATGCTGACAGCGTTGTCATAAAGTAAACAATAACTATTTGTGCTGGTATTTGTTTACTCTACATATTTCTAGTAGAAAGCTAGAAAATCACAACATATCAAGTACATATAGTAGTCTTCGAGATAATTTAATCAAATTCTGATTAAAGGTCAAAGTAATTATTTTTTTGGCATTAGGGTACAGTAGAAGTTCTCTGGAACGATCGAATAAAGAAAGACCAAGAGGTGAAATGTGCAAATTTGACCCCTTCTAAGTCCGGCAGTTCTTGACCGATAGAGCGATGAAAATTTGTGTCGGACCTACTATCCAATAGTACTTACCTTAGTGCAAATTTCGTCAAAATCGATTTTTTTAGTTGGGTCACTTAACATGAAATTGCCCATATATTAAACATAATTATGAAATTTAAAGCCCTATTCGACGGGTTTAGTTGTATGGGGGCTAGGTCAACAATTTTCAATAGTCTTCGTCCCTGGGACAATAGAAGACCATGAACCAAATTTCATTGAATTATCTTCAAAATTGCGACCTGTAGTTTGATAACAAGACGGACGGACGAACATAGCTAAGTCGACTCAGAAAATGATTCTAAGACAATTGGTATAGTTTAAGGTGGTTTTGAAATGTATTATAATTTAATTATTATGAGCTTAAGAGATCTTGAATCGAAATGTGGTTTTAAAGTACTTAGATACTGGTACTGATTAGTATTTTTATCTTTAAGTGAACTGCGATATGTATAGTATCATTTAATAAGATAAAATATATTATTGAATTTGCAATCAATGAGTTTAATGTAAAATTGTATGTATTTTTTCAACTTTATTTTTATACCCACCATCAAAAAATATGGGGGGTGTATTGATTTTGTCATTCCAAATATTGGTAATCGACCCACAAAATTATATATATTCGGGGTCCTTATTAAATTCTAAGACGATGTAGCCATGTCAGTCCGTCTGTCTGTTGAAAGCACGATAGTGTCCGAACGGAATGAGCTAGAGGGATGAAATTTTCCACAAATATTCTCTATAGGTAAGATTTATTTGGTATTGAAAATTGCCAATATCGATTTCCATTATTTCGGATACAAGTGGACCCCCGAAAAAGAGCTTAAACGGGCGAGTACAACGATGAAATTCGACATTAATTAGTTCCATAAGAGCCAAAATCTTCCTACCAAATTTTATGAGGATCGGTCCATAATTGACCCTACCCCCCATATAAGATCTCCCAGAAAATGACTATAACGCTCATATCTTGCTTAAAAATAAGAATATAGCGATGAAATTCAACATACTTAAGTCAAAATCTCTCTACCAAATTTTATATGGATCTGTCAATACCCCTACCCCCCGTTATAAGGTCCCCTTCAGAAAATTACTTTAACCCTCATTACTGGCTTAAAAATACGAGTATAGCAATGAAATTTGACATAAATATGTTTATTACGGGCCAAAACCAAGAAAATTTTATACGAACGTAAATCACCCTACTGAATTTAATGCGGAAAGTGTCATATTCTATGTAAACATGTTTTATATAAACCAAAATATTGTTAATATAAAGAAATCAAAGAAATATATTTTGAAAAAAAAAATAAACTGGAGCGACGTCGGAAATGACCATTTTCGGTCTTATGGAAATGACAGTAAATGGTCATATTACAGGCCGACAAATTTTTAAACCAGAGACCAAAGTATACTTTTCTAAAGGATTGAGCCGCATGAATCCGAATCTGATTTTTCATCACATCTAAGATTTGAGATATCGTGTCTTGAAATTTGAAAAACGCCAGCGTCGGCCTATGTAATTCATACATACATATACAAATGTATTTAGTTCAAATCAGATTACTTTTTAATAGTGTAGGGCACAAAAATTCCACCTTAGCTTAAACTCAGTTACTTATTTTCACCATATAACATAAAGTAGATATGGGGTTTAATTAAAAATTATTTTGATATCAAACTTTGAAATACATTCGTCTGTCATCATGACATTATTTATAACCGCAAATGTACTTCTACTTTAAATTTGTAAAAAAAACAAAATATTCAAATAGGTTTACCACAAAATTTGCCAAGCACATCTGTTATATAATTTGCTATATGTACTTCGTTTACGTCAAATCTCTAATTATTTTTATACATACATAACATACCTCTAATTTTTCTTATTCTTTTGTTTTATTTATTTTTTTTTTCAACGAATTTTGCACTCATGTGATTTGGATGATGAAATTTAGGTTATATGGTTTAAGGATACCATGCAATTGGATACCACCGAACGTCATATTATGGAAAATCGTGGCTCACGTCATACGTTGATTATACGAAAAGTGCATCCACAAGATTTTGGTAATTATTCGTGTGTTGCTGAAAATCAACTTGGCAAGTCACGTAAAACTTTACAGTTGAGCGGTAAACCCAATGTAGCTGTTTTCAATTCACCACCAATCAGTCAGTATAAGGACAGGTAAGTAGGTCAAGTTATGGTAGAAATATTTGTAGCGATTTAACAAACCATGAGATTAACAAGTACATACATATATAAAATACAGCATAACTCTAATATACATACATATATGTAGGCAATATGTATGTGCAATGGCAATACTTATAATTTGTAAATATATGTATATGTACGTACGTGTGAAAGTGAAATGTACAAATTCCTTACCAATTAAAGCGGAATGTATGTATATGTCTGTATTTATTTCGTAAACATAAAATCGTATGTCAATAATGCTCTACACAGATACATTCATACATATGTATATTATGGTGGCCCCGTTTGAATGGAGGAAAAATATAATTAAAGTATAATTGATTATAAGATAGCGTTTCTCAAAATGTTTGTCCTGGGGTCCATATTTGGCGAGCTAGATCAAAGTATAAAAAGGTCCTTTTTTGAGGTTTTTATGATTTTTTCATACTTTTTCCAGAGGAAAGTTCTAAAATTTTGGTTTTATAAGAAAGGTCCTTGAGAGACGCTTTCAATATCATATCAGTAATTTTTGTGTAACAGTAAATCTAAATCGAAATTTTCAAATTTTTCGTTAAATTTTCAAACATCGCGAAATAATGTAAACAGCAATATAGAAATCGTTATTTACAAAGCAAACATAATAAATAAGTAGATGTTTGGGATAAATTGTATTAATATTTTAGTTGAATTGAAAAATTTGATTGATAATAGAATGAAACCATAAAGTGTTATATACCATTGTAAAGATTATGAAATTACGCGTATGCTGATGTACATATTATGTACGTTGGATAAACATAGCTAGCGAAAAACCTGGGACAAAATAGAATTTAAAATATTAAAACAAAATATAACGAATTTCGAAAAACAAAAAAAAAAAACATTTCGGTAGAATTGTATGAGGTTATAATGTAATAATTTCAATTAATTACATTAAATAGTTCTACGTAAAATTTTTAAAAACTTAAAAATTTACCGAAAAAATACGACATTTGCAATAATTTTGGAGTTGTATGCAAATTTGTGTTATGTCATTGATATCGTCTCCCAAAGACCTTTCATATGATACTAAATTTGCGTATGGTTTATTTGCCAGAAATGTGAAAAAAAATCATAATAATCTTAAAAAAGGACCTTTTTATCCTTTGATCCAGCTCGGCAAACATAGACATCAGGATAAAATTTTAGAGAAAGGGTATCTTAGAATGAACTAAATTATCATTTTCGGTGGGAACATCAGCAACTTCCATTTTGGGGCCCACCCTAATGTATATACATATACCACATATGTATGAACATAAATCTCTATTTTCTAACATATACATGTGTATGTAAGTGTACATCATTAAGATAATCAAAATTTTCTAATTTTTGAGCTTGTTTTGGTTTTCTCAACATACATTTATGACGTATTTAAAATAAAGTACTTAATTAGCAACAAATTTTATCACTCTTATGCTTATAGATGCTTATGATGGCAACAGACATACATACATACATACATACATACATACATACATACATACATACATACTACATACATACATACATACATACATACATACATACATACCTCATACATACATACATACATACATACTACATACATACATACATACATACATACATACTACATACATACATACACTACATACATACATACATACATACATACATACATACATACATACATACATACTACATACATACATACATACATACATACATACATACATACATACATACATACATACATACATACATACATACATACATACATACATACATACCTACATACATACATACATACATACATATACATACATACATACAACATACATACATACTACATACATACATACATACATACATACTACTACATACATACATACATACATACATACTACATACATACATACATACATACATACACATCCTACATACATACATACATACATACATACATACATACATACATACATACATACATACATACATACATACATACATACATACATACATACATACATACATACATACATACTACATACATACATACATACTCATACATAATACATACATACTACATACATACATACATACATACATACATACATACATACATACATACATACTACTACATACATACATACACATACTACATACATACATACATACATACATACATACATACATACATACATACATACATACATACATACATACATACATACATACATACATACATACATACATACATACATACATACATACATACAAATACTAGGGCAGAGCATTTCTAGAATCTAGAATCTGAACCATCTTCAAATATAATGTACTTACTATATAGTGAAGCGAACAGTACGCGTTTAATTAAAATTTTCTTGGCTCTCGATTTTCGATTTGTTTTATAATAATTCTCAAAATGTTTTCAGTCCCTCGATAAATTTCTAAAAAATTTCTTTTTTGGATTATTTTTAATTTAATTACTTTATACTTTTTATACCCTCCACCAACATCAGTGGTGATAGAGGGTATATATAACTTTGTCATTCCGTGTGTAACACCCAGAAATATTCATCTGACACCCATCAAAGTACATATATTATTAATCCTTATCCTCCTTGAAATTCTGAGTCGATATAGCTATGTCCGTCTGTCCGTCTGTCTGGCTGTCTTTCTGTCTGTGTAAAACACGGTCACGTTAAAACGAAGCAAAGGAAATCAACCAAATTCACCCAAAACATTCTTTATTACCCAATAATTTTGGTATTGAAAATCAGTAAAATCGCTTTACGACGTAAAAAGCTATGAGTAAAAAGTACCTCGAAAAAAATAACGTTTTTTCCCAATTCTTAAGTGTATATTCCCGGAAATTAGTTTATCGTTAATAACTCCTTTAAATATATCGGTATCAACACAAAATTTTTTACATACAAATATAATATAGCAGATCTCAGGAGGGTATTTAAGATAAGGCACAGCCGAATATAGCACTCTAACTTGTTTATAAATGATATCCTTTATTGAAAGTATTGTTTTAATTATTACATTAATTTTCTTAAATTAATAACATCAATTAGTGTTTATAAACCGGTTAACCGAAGAACCGGTTTTTATTGCATATTTCGGTTTTTCGCAAACCGGTTTTTTTAAAACATTGGTTTTCGGTTAACCGGGTTATCCGGTTTTTAAGTCTCGCTTAACCGATTTCAAAAAAATCTAATTTTTAGTACAAAATTGTATGTTTTCTTTGATTTTTTATTGTGATTTTTAAAAATTTTGGATAGTTGAGATTGTTAAACAAATGTTAGGAAATGTTAAACATATACTATGCATATAAAATGGAGATTTACAATTTCAGACAATCAGGAAATTAGTAAAAAGTTGGCATTTAAACCAATAAAAAATTAAGTATTTAAACAAATTCCAACCATTATATGAAGAAATTTGTTACTTATTAAAACGAATAAATAACGTTGATTATAAGATGCACTTCCTTGTTTACTGCGTGAGTATAACAAAAATCGAGAAGTTTGTCAAACGTTCTCAAAACGGATTTTATTTATCGAAACATAAGGGTAATTGTCGCTGTCCGAGAATTTATGCTGCTGGGGTTTTTCACAAACTGTAATGGCGCTTAGGTTGATTATCAGGAAGTAAGTACTGACACCTGTCAATATTCCTAAGTGTCATTCACAGTAATTTGAACAACCACAGGCGTAGTGAGCGGAGGGTGATCACAATTAAAGCAGTGGCTCAATGTCTATGTCGAGACAGTCGTCGTCTACTTCCGTTCCCGATGAATCATCGCGAGCCTGAACAATATTTATACTAGTGTTGGACATAAAATTTTTTATTGATATAGATGCATTATATATTCAAAGGTCAATTTATTCCTCCTATGGCAACTTCCATATACCTGACGAATCAATAATAACTTCAGATCTGTATAAGTTTGCTTTCTTATGATATATTAATGTACATATTTATACAAAAAAGTGCAAATATCTTATTAAGTAATTCATAATATTTCGCAAAATGAAATTTTTCAACTAAATATTATAATATTTTAAAGATTTCCAAACATTTTTGGTTAACCGGTTTTTTTGTACTCGGTTAACCGACAAACCGTTTTTTTAGAAATGGTCAATTTTCGGTTAACCGAAAAACCGGTTTTTCCAAAAGTCGGTTTTTTATAAACACTAACATCAATATTTCATCTAAATAAATATAAAATATTTAAATATAAAAATATTTTATGATTTTCTATTAACATTCCACTCAAACTTTTAAATCTAATGTACTTACCAAAATGTTTAAAAAAGAATTTCACACAAATTAAAACCTTTAAAGGAAAGTTTTATATTTATTTTCAAACTTCAAATAAAATCAACAACCAACCAAACTGAACTCACCTTATATTTGCAAAAAAACGTTTTGAAAATTTTTTTATGAAACCAAATTTTATTTTTTACTCTGAAAAGTTAAAAAAATAAAAACGGCAATATGTATAACTAATATTACTAGTTGCTTGCGAATAAATGAAATAATATTCAAGTGGAAAAATACTGCAGTCAATGAACTGTATTGAATATGGAAAAGTTTTTTATAATGCAATATTTTTCCCGCGGCACTCAATAAGAATAAAGAAGAGAAAAATAAATAAAACTACTAACATCTAATTGGTTATAGAACAATATTTAATAAAACTTTCCTTTAAGAAGGACTAAAAATGAAAATTTAACATTATTGTTTACTTTTTGACCGTAATTGTGCCCTCAAATTAACGCTCTTCCCAAAAGTATTCAAATCATAAAAATTTCTTTAATTTGTTAAAGAAAATATTGGAAAAAATCTTTTCAAATTCAATAACAATTTTAATCATGTACCTGATTTTAACAGGTTGCTACTACCTTTTGCCTTTATTTTTTAACAAAATAATAACAATGGCATATAGAAGAAATAAGCAAAAATATGTATAAGAT